CCACTGCGTCACGTGGATGCTGTAAGCGACAGGCTCTCACCTCCTCCTACTAAGCCCTCAGCTTCTATGGGACAGTGGAGTGTTCCCTAGGGCCAGTGCAGCGCCAGAGCGTGAGCACCAGTGGGTTAGGCAGGCTGGGCCTTAGGTCCTGGTTCTGCCATGCATGGCTGTGCACCTTTGGGAAAGTTGCTTTACATCTCTGGGCCTTGGTTTCCTGATCTGTTAGAAGGGAGCTAAAGGACACCATAGCTACTCTGACAGCCAAGTGTGGTGCTGCCCATGGGCAGCTGGAGTCCGTGGCAAGCCTGAGTCATGGTGTCCAGCATGGACTCATGCTGTAGCCTTGGCTTCTTCCTCCATGGGGCAAGGTGTCTTCTAAATCCGGCCTCCTGCCTCTTTCCTCCACAAGGACAAGGATGAGGCCACAAGGTGTCCCCAAGGCCTGATTCCTTTCTGCTCTGGGCTCCACGTTAGAAGTGAGTCCCCCCCCCCCCACCAGCCTGCCCACCACATCTCAGACCAGGAGGTCACGGGGATGGAGGTGTCCTCTAGAACCAAGGCCATATGACTCACTACTGCGGGGGCGGGGAGTCCAGGCTACCCCACAGTGGGTTGGGGGGCTCCAGGTGCGTGATGAACTGTGGAGGAGGAGTAGGGGCTCCCAGGCCCTAGGTCACCTGTGCAAACTCCATCTCTTGCCTGGATCTCTGTCCCGTTGCTTTCCCACCTGGGCCTTTGTTTCTATGGGGACAACACATCCAACCTGGTGGTGGTTTGGGCTCAGGAGGGAAGATGAGGCAGTCGTGTCTGTGTAGGAATTGCCCTGTGGGTATGCAGAAGGGACCAGGGTGACAAGGACTAACAAGGTACAAATGAGATACACGGAGGTCCACAGGGAGGGATCTTTGTGGCTCTGAAGCCTTAGCGCACTGGCCTGGACCCTGAGGCCGGGATCCGGCTTCCGGGCCTCCTCATGAGCTCTGTGTCCTGGGGCCTTCCCTGGCCTGGTCTATTCCCTCTGAAAGGTCCATGTCCTCTTAGGCTGCAGGTTTCATCTGAGCAGGTGGAGGAGCCCGCCTCCTGGTGTCCCACAACTGCCTGTCATCTGGGCTACATTTCTGTGTGGTCATAGAAACCAATGTGCTGTTGCCAGCAATTGGGGAACCAGGGGCAAGTACAGCTCCACACCGGAGGGTGACAACAGGGTGTTTATCATCCAGACAACCTGCCACCACTTCCCCATCCTCACACTGAACCTAAGTGCAGGGTCAAGAAGGGAAATAGGGATGGGAACCAAATTATTGCCCACGGTTCACTGGCAGACCAGGGATCTCAACCAGGCAAACCAACCCTGCCTGTCTGTTCCTCTCCCATTTAACTGCACAAGATTGTAATCTGCAGAGAATAGTCCCCTTCTCTGGGCACCCAGGACAAGGCTCCCCGGGCCTTCACTGTGGCCCTAACTTTTGAAGAGGCAGGATTTCCTTTGCCAGCCTCCAGTACCCCAAAGACTCAGGGATCTCAGGACAAAGTGGATTCATGCAGGATGAGGTTTGTGAGGTTTTCTCAGACTCCAAGAGACTAAGAAATAACTTTTGAAGAAAGCAAAATGCTTCTGAAGCTGTGGATGCAATTTCTCAAATGACCACGAGAGGGCAGGTTGGGACCGATTCAGAGATTTCCTATTTCCCAGGTAGAGCAGGGCAGAGCTGTGAAAGGAAACTGAGGACAGAAGCCCTCCCTCGATCCTCCCAGGGACTCTGACCTTGAAGCAGGGGGATGTCCAACATTCAGCCCCAGTTCCACTTTTTTTTTGTAAATTTTTTTTTTTTTTTTTTTGGTACCGGGGAATCAAACTCATGATCTTGTGCTTGCCAGGCAGGTGGTTATACCACTGAACTAAATCTCCAGCCCCTTTTTTGTTTCTGTTTGTTTGTTTGTTTGTTTGGTACCGGGGATCGAACTCACGACCTCGCTCTTGCCAGGCAGGCGCTTATGCCACTGTGCTAACTCCCCGACCCCCCAGTTCCACTTTATACTATATCAAATTTATTTTGATACAAGTATGATACAATGCCCTTTCTGAGGACAAGATGGATGCTTCAAGAAGGTGGTCTGTGTTCGACCTATGGCTTTGGGTACCTACCGTGCCACAAGCCCCGGGGACCAGGGATGCCCAAAGAGAGGAATTCCCAATGCCAAATTCAGTAATGCCAGGCTATCAGCAGAAGAGCCTCACATTCAAGAACAATGTGGCAGAATCCACCAGTACCTTGAAGCTGCGTGGAGGGTGTGTGTTAGGGGGTCCCCCGTCAGGGAGAGGGTATTAACTTTGCCATAAATTGCAGCAAGTAAATTTTGGGGTACGCCGCTGGAAATTCCATAAATGACCACCAGGTGGCAGCATGAGGCCATTTATGGAGCCAAGTGGAGAAAATAGGGGAATTTCTAGAGTACCTCAGTTCTCTTCTGGGCAAATGAGGCTCCAATCAGACTCTCAATGTGTACTCTCTCCTTGCCTACAATAAGCAGGAATAAGCAGGCTTGTGCTGTGTTGTGTCCGTCACCCCTGCACCCCATTTTTTGTTCTTTTTAGGGTCCTTTGCATCAGGGCCCAGTATAGGTCATGTGTCCCTCTGTGGAAAATATAGGGACCATAACGTCGGAGGTCACAGCCCTACATCTCAGGGTACTGATACTCAGTATTTCTTATCCTGCTTTGGGGGCACGGTGCCTCAGCAGCTCCCTGACAGGCCCCCCACTCTTGCTCCCTCTCCCTGCACCCTCCCCTTGCTTAAATAACCTGGGCCTGAGATTCTGACGGGATAAAATAGCCCTGGGCTTGGCAGGAGATGGCAATCTACCCACAAGGCAGGGCTTTAATACATTTGAGCAGTGGGAAGCTCCACGTTGCCAGAATTTTGATCCATGGGGTGTGGGTTGCTTTCCCTTACAGCCCCTTAGCTACCCATTCCTCAGTCTGAATGCACCCCCTTTAGGCCGAAGAGCCCCTCACTCTTCTGACCCCACCCTTGGTTTGGGGAGTACTGGGGGGGCTGGCCGCAGCTCCTTTTGATAGGCAGACTTCTTGCCAAAGACACTAGGGGGCAGCACATACCGCAGAGCTACTGGTCTCAAAGCTCTTAAAACCAAGTGGAGCTAGCAGGGGCAGGGAACTTCTTGACCCTGAGAAGTGTGGAGGCTGGCTGCTAGACCCATCTATGCACCCTGGAACCGACTTGAGGTCAGTAGCGTCCTCGAATTCCTCTCCATCCAGAGTCCTGGTGAGTGTGGCTTCTCCCACAGGATAGTGTGGCTCGGGGGGGGGGGGGGGGCTTCTGCATCCGGCTGGGACACCCTCATCGTAGTTGAGTCCCCATCTTCCCCGCTGAGAGCCCCCCCTATATGCCTTATCCTTCTTGCTAAGGAGTTCACTGGGCGTGGTGATATGTGCCTGTCATCCCAGCCCTCTGGAGGCTGAGGTGTATGGATTGGTGTGAGTTCAAGGCCAGCCTGGACCAAATAGTTTAAGGGCAGCCTGAATAACAAGCAAAAACTCTGTCTCAGAATTCCCCTGTTTAAAAATAATTAAGGAAAGGGGTTCAAATGAGGACTTGAGAGAAAATAGGAGAGGAGGGAATTAAATCCTAACGTGAGCTGGTAAGTTGGGTAAAATAAACACGAACAGAATGAGTGGTGGGCGTGCAAGCACACAGGGAGGCTGGGGACTGGTGGCTTTTGGGGGATTATATATATGTCTTTGCTTCTTGAGAAAATTTTCTTTGCTCCCTGCTCTCCCTCAATGCTATGGACAGAGACTTCAGATTTCCAGTGAAATCCAGGGAAATCCAAACAGGTCTTGCTTCTGAGTCCTCCCTAGCTGCTTTTAGTGCTAAGTGGGAGTTCCAACTAGGTGCTAAAGCCCCCACGAACCCTGTCAGTCATCACCCTACCCAGAAGGGCCTGCGACCACTCATTGCCTGTGGCATGCCACTTGCACCCGTAGGGCTCGTGCTGGCACTGCACAGAGAGTGCAGGGGCTCAGGTCAGATGGCAGATGAAGGAGGAAACCTCCATGGAAGCCATATGCTCATGGAGTGTGAAGAGACATGGCTGGATTGTGTTTTGCCTGCATTGAAGCAAATTTTTTTTGCTCGTTCTCGAACCCTGTCCCCATTTTACCAGTGCCATACCCCCGGGGCCTTCTGGGGGGTCAGGTGACCCCCCAGGGTCACTTTAGTGAAGCCCCACCCACCCCCACCTCCATGCACTCTGCACCTATTAGCTAAGCGTGCTCCCAGCTGATGCCCACATGCAGAGGTGCTCCTGTGGGGTCAGGGACAGCTGAAGCTCCCCCCTTAAAGCCCCCCTGTGCCTCAGTGTGGGAAAGTGCCATAGCCAAGGCCTTAGTGTCCCCAGCAGTAGAACTGCCATGAAGCTCCACAAACTTGAAGGAGCCTGGGGAATAATGTGGAGGGGACATGGTGGTAAGGGGCAAACTGGCATTGGAGCAAGTGCCATACGCAGTGATGAACAGGGTGGCCCACCCCCAAGGGGCCCGGTTACCACACTCACTCTAAAAATGCTCATCACTTCTCCATCCTCAGCTTTGTCTCCCTCTGCCTCTCTTGATCCTGCTGGAGGGTCTGAGCACCCTAATCAGAGGACCCCATCCTTTGGGGGAGACTGCTAATATCGACCCCGCCGGTTTCAGCAGAGAGGCTTGGGAACCGTTGACTCCCCAGTCCTCTTTAACCAGCAGCCAGGAGCTTCAGGGACAACACATTAACTAGAGCACAGGTAACCAGGCTGGCCCCCCACGCACTGTACCCTCTGTGTGTTGGGAAGGCTGTAACTGAAGTGGGGGCTTGGGGCATCAAGGAGCCTGGCCTCTGATGGAGGAGAAGATGCTCAAAGGGCCCAGTGAGACAGATTCCAAAGGCCAGGAAAGACAGCCAGGGAGAGTACTAGTCAATAGGGTTACAAAGCCACAGAGCCTTTTGTAAGTAAACCAGATTTTCTTTTACTAATCCGCCAAGCAAGATGGCAGGGCCAAGAGATGAGGGTAGGGCTGCTCTTCCCAGCAGGAGTGGACAGCTGTTTCTGCAAATGTAAAAGGAAGAGTTTTCTTCATGAGAACGTTCTTCTGGCTTCATTCTTTCCATCCTCTCCCTGCGCACCCCTCACCCCTCTTCCTCCCCTACTCCCAGTCTCAAAGACAAAAGGGACAGACTGTAGGGAGGACTCAGGGCTGAGATCCTACAGCTGCGCATGGGCGCATGCGCGCGTGTGCGTCTGCATGTGCGTATTTATACCGTTTAAAAAGTAAAGCTGCCCTCTTTGCGTACTCCCCGTACCTCCCAGCCACCGCCCAGAAAGGAGCAGGTGAGGCTCAGGGACAAGAGGATGCCTCTTGTGATCTCCCGGCAGTGTTTTACAAGGGAAAGCTGCTTTCTCCCTGACTGTGAGCCCAGCTGCTCCTGCCACCCTCAGACTCTTCTGCCCCCAACACTCAATGCGGGCAATGGAGGTTTCCCCAGGGGTACATCCACGCGTGCGTGTGTTTCTCCCCTGCATTGTGGAACCCCGTGGGCCCACTGTGGAGTCTATAGTCATGGCCCCTTACCCTGTGAAGCCTAACCACCTCCTCCCTGGGCTTCTCTTACGTGGAGCCTGGGTCCTTGGAGTTTTGCCCTAATCCCCTTTGCTTCCATGTAAGCTGGGAGCGGAGGGAGAGACTTGCAGGTTGTGCTGTGACCCCTCACATGCAGGTACTTTGTGTGCAGTGCCCCCGCCCAGGGCCCCCACTAGGAAGCTTACCCCACTAGGAAGAGGGAAACCCTGCAACAAAATAGCCTCCTGCTTCTCCATCCACAACTGTCAGATGTGGCGAAGTGAGTTTCTCTCTTACTTTGATACCAGGCAGCTGAAGGAATAAGAGGAAGAGATGGTGCCCGTGGCCTGGCATGGCCACAAGCCTTCCACCCAGCAGCAAGGGGAGGGGGAGCACCAGGGCTCGAGCTGGAGTAAGGCTCCTTTAAAAAAAAAGACAAGCATGATCTCAAGAACATCCCTTTGCTATTCTCTAAGGGCTGAAAGTCACTGCTGAGCTCTTAAAGGAAACGGAGCCCAGTCCCCAGTTCCAGGACGTGGCACCTTCTGTGGCTCAGACTCTGGCCCAGCCCGCACCCCCAGCCTGAGCTGCAGCAGACCAGCGCTGCCAAAGAGCTGCCCAGCCTCAAGAAGGTGGTGCGTGGACCAGGCGATCACCAAGCATCCAGAACTGAGGCCAGCAGCCGGCCCAGGCCCCAGGAAGGTGAGTGTCAGCATCTAGACAGCACAGAGAGGAGCACTAATGTGGTTCTTCCTGCATCCTGGACTCCTTCACAGTTCAGACCCCGACAAGGCACACCTTTGAAGCCACCTTCCCATTTTACAAGGAGCCAGCCATGGCTGGGGGTATTTTCAGTGGCACAGCTGGTGTCTGGAATCCAGGTGCTTCCCTCCCTGGGGCTCAGGTGTGGGCAGAGAAGGGTCCTTGCGGTCTGTCTCTGTAGCATGGAGGTTCTTGGAGGGAATTCCTGGGAGAGGAAGAAGAGTTTGCTTCTTTGTCGTGGGCAGATGACGGTAGAGGGAAAGAGCAGGCAGCCCAAGGGGGAAGGCAGGGGCGTCTGGTGAGGTCAGGATTTGAGGCCGGAGAAAAGGACAGAGGGAGGAAGACAGGGAAGCATCGTCAGATGGGCAGAAGTGGGGAACTTAAGCACAGCTGAGTTCATCCCCAGCATGGGGACATAAGGGGGCTTGAGCTTTCAGTGTCTCCCTGTGCCAAAGTGGGTGACAGACTCAGGCATCCTGACTGACCTGTGACCAGCAGGAGATAATGACCAAAGAGGCACTCTGAGTGCCCCAAATGATGGTATCACTATTCCATTGTCTTCTGGAAGTCAATGGGGCTTCCTGTATGTGGGGGTGGGGTGGGGGTGAGAGGTAGCTAGAAAGAACCGGGCTAGAGCTGCTTCTGCGTCCATCCAGGCAACTTCGAGCAAGTCCAGTGGTTGGCCACGCCGGTTCAGTCAGGTACTGGGGTCAGGGGGAGAGGGGCTCTGGGTCCTAGGGAGCACAGGGAGGTGGGGCCAAGCAGGGCTGTGTTCACGCCTGACAGCTGGTGTCACAGGCCGCTTCCAGGATGGGCTACATGGGCCATCCTTTTCCATGCCTCTGTGCCCATCCCACAGAGAAGTTAAGAACTTTTATTAAAGTTCAGATACTAAATAAAACAATGTAGTGAGTAGCATAGGTCCCGAGTGTGTCCCCTGCTCCCCCTCCCCAGAGGAACTCCACCCTGACCCCTACACCCCTACCTACTTACAGCTTCAGCAGGAGGTAGTTTGGGCCACCCGTTGTCACATGAGGGGTTCTGGTTCCGGATGCAGGCCTCTGGTTTTTAGGATGACACTGAGCTGTGTGTGTTGAGTCCAGGGGAGAAGTCTTCTTTGTGCACTTGGCCACAAGCAACCTGCTGGGTGTGAGAGAGGACCCCCCTCCCTAACAAGAGGACAGAGGTGGATGTGTAAATCCTGGGCTGGGCTCCACGGACAGTGGGCACCTGGGAGGTTTGATGAGTATGGGGTGCTGGGGAGGGCTTGCTGAGGGCTGGGGGAGACATCAGAACCACAGGCCAGGGCCGCAGGCCGGGCTCAGTGGGAATGAGTCTGATGTTTGGAGCAAGTGTTTATTTGTTTTGGAATTTGGGGTTTCCAGTCCAAAGAGGGGATCCTGCTGCCACAGTGCCAGGGGATGGGTGGGGTGAGAGGCGGGTACTTGGGAGCAGAAGTTCCTGCCAGTCAAGCTCCTGCAGATGGATACCCCAGCCCCAATCCCCAGGCTGTTGGTAGGATCCTTCCTTCCATAGGGGTGCGGAAAGAAGAGGGAAATAGAGGGTAGAGGAAAAGGGAGAGAACCCAGCACTGGTGCTAGTTGGGGGCATGGATGGCCCACTTATTGAATCCAGGGTGACCCGGACCTACTCCACCTTCCTTCCTGCTTGTCCCATCAGCCCACTTTTGATTAAAGAAGACCAGGTGAGGCCTCCACAGGCCGACCCAAGGGAAATGAAGAATGTGTGCCTTGTCCTTGCCTGCACTGGCATGGTTCCCTGTGCCTTGGTGGATCCACAGTGGCCACCCAAGGTGACCTCGGTCTTCTTCCTACCTTGCAACATCCAGACATGCATCCCTGAGCATGAACAGTGGCTCCTCCAGGTAGCTGGCCACTTCTGTGGAGCAGAAAGCAGAAAGTGGGCCCCTAAATGGGCCACTGCTGTGACTGCCCTCCTGGTATCCCAGAGGAGGAGGAGGAAAGCCCAGATTCTGCAAAGGCCTGTTACTCTCCTATCTGCCCAGGCCTAGAGAAAAGGTGCAGAGCCCAGAGCTGGGTCATAGGGAGTCCTAGGTTTGTCTCTCCTTAACAGAGACCCTCGGCAAGAATTGGAAATGACTGTGGTCTCACAAGGAGTTGGGGTGCAGACAGGCACTTTTAAAAACGTTTCTCACCCCCAAATTTACAAGTCTCCCTGGAGTGGGAAACAACGTCAGCAGACCAGAGCCCCCTCGCTGAAGGCTCCCTCCTGTCTACAGGCGCACACCCCTACCAAGCAGGCCTGAAAGCCAGCACGGAGGCTGCAGGAGGGAAGGGAAGGGAAAGGGGGGCAGTGATGGGTGGGGTGGGGGGAGACAGGCCAGATGTTCTTGGAATGGGACACAGTGATTGATGCAGACTGGAATTTGAAGGGGGGAACATTCCCCACGTGCCTCATGCTCTGGGTGGAAAATGAACTGCTTTTCATGGAGAGTGGGGGGAGGGTCGTCCAGGTCTTGCCAAGCTAATGTAAAGGAGATGCTTCTGCCCTGCTTGGGTCCCCACACCTGTCCAATGCCATTAATTCCTGCCTTTCCAGAGTGTTAGGCTTTGAGATGCTCCCTCAGCCCCAATCTGGACTGTCTTTATGGGTGACAGGAGGGACAAGCAATCCTCACTGTACTGATCCCATGATTCCCATCATAATGCTGCCTCCCAGCAGCGCCCCTTCTCTGGCATCCCCACCCACAGCGCCCCACCCCGCCAGTCACTGTCCTTCACCCCTAACACTGCCCAGTGCTAAGGGGGTGGCCTTGTTCCCAGCACAGCGCAGCCCCGCATGGTAAGCTTGCATGTGGGTTCAATATTTGCCTTTAAGGAACTGAATTTTCCCCCAGCCAGAGTGGGGAGGTTTGTCATGAAAATTCTCTCCGAGAAAACGAAAGGAGACCCCTGGCACCCCACCACCATGCAATCCTGCCTGCCCCCCATATTTCTCCTTCGCTTTCTCACTTCCTCTTCTGTTTTGCACTGCCCAGACAAAATGAGTTTCATCGTCGTTTGGGGGTTGGTTTCAGCCAGGTGGGTGCGCGCAGAGGGCCGGGGCAGGCTGGGGTGGCCGCCGGGGGTGCTCCGAGCCCCTAAGACGAGCCGGGGAGGAGCCTGCCCCCGGCGGCGGCCCGGCCGCGGCTTCGCCTAGGCTCGCAGCGCAGAAGCGCGTGGGGCGCAGTGGCGGCGGGGCGCCCGCAGGCCTCCTCCGCGGCGGCGAGGCTGGGAGCCCGCAGCCCTGGGAAGACCCGAGGGGCAACGCCCCGGGCGCTCCCTCACGGCCCTCGAGTGTCTCCTTTCCAAGCAGGCGCCCGCTCTGTACTGGCTCCCACCAGGGCACCCCTCCCGGTGGCGAGAAGGCTACAGAATGAAAAGCTAAATTCATTTGGGCGTGTGCGCCAGGGCGCCCGGTGCTACCTGCCCCGCAGCCCTCTTATCCCTTTCCGGAGCTGAGGCCTCACAGCCCGCATCCGCATTCCCCGGGGAGGGCGCCACCACTCCGCCAGGGTCCCTAGCTGCGGTGGACCCGCGCAACGCATTCCCCTCCAGCCAGGAGTTTGCCCTAAAATGCAGCCCCAGCTCTCCAGGGTTCCAATACATCCAGCAACTTCCTTGTAACCCCTGAATTCCAGCGTTACTGTTTATGGAATCCTCCAGATTTAAGCATTGCTCTTTAAATCGTCCTAATGCGTTCAGCATTTGTACAGCTCACAAGAATTTTTCTTTTGTGCCTTTATTTCCAAACACTTTAAAAGGCGTGAAACCCCTGCTAGTGTCCCCAGTCTGCACTACTTAGCCTGGGTCCCCAAATTTGTTTTCATCTAGGCTTTTAGCAGATTTATATACTTGCTTCTGGCTCCCACAGATTTACAGACCACCACCCGGGGTTTCTTAAAATTTAAACAGTGACCCATAGTTCTGTAATCATACTGACAGATCCTGCTGGCTTCTCAAAGTATGGGTTTTTTTTTTTTTTTCATTTAGTGTTTTTCTGGTTTTTAGGTACTGTCCCTAAAACAAGTGGAACATTTACCCTACATTTCTACAATGTCAGCTATTAGCTCCAGGGTATCTTTAGTTTACCATCCCTTTTCTGACCTCCCCCACATTTCGGCCCTATTCTGATTCATCACACTTTGGAACACTGTCCACTGAGTTTCACAATCTTTTGCTCTAACTTGGGTTCCCTACGTTTTGTGCACTAAACACCAGGTCTGCCCCCCAGGACACTGAGCAATTTTCCTGGAACTCTACGTGTTGAACTTTGTTCCCTATACCTCCCCTCAAAGATACATATTGCACCCAGCACCTTAGAACGATCTATACTTTGATTTTCTCTATTCCACAAACAGAATGCTTTTACAAGTGATTCCTAAAATTTAATGTACAATTTTCCTCCACAGTCATGAGGATTTGGGATATTTATTTCCAAGACCCTACAGGCTCCCTGGCCACTGATCAGGTTCTTTAAGACATAGCCACTTGTAATCCAGGCCTCCAAAGCCCACTGAGCAATTATCCAAGATGTATTCCACTGTGCCGGGAAGGTTTTCTACCTTTATTCTTTCAAATAATGTCCTGTGTCTCTGGGTCACATCATACACAGAACTAACTCTTAGGCAGAGCCTATTTCTTGTTGTAACTATCTTCATCGAATGTCCTCAATTCCTATTCTGAGCATTTTCCCCTGCAACATGATATATTGAATATTTATTAAAAGGTTCCATGAGCCCTCTTACTTTACTAATAAGAATCTGGATTTTCTAAAGTGCAAACATCCAAATCCTAGGACTACACCAAATCCTTTTCCTGATCCTCCATGTTTGCCCAAGTTAGACTCTCTCAAATATTAGGCTACGCCCTCCAGCCCCCAAATACATAATTATTATTATTAAGTTACAGAAAAGAAGCTCTGGGGCTGGAAAGCAACCTATGTACCCACTGAACCCTCCACAGTTAAGCAATATTTGCTGCAAATCCTGAATAATCTTCACAATGATTTTCCAGACCCCACAATTTAGGAATTTTGTGTTCCCTAAAACTTAGGTATTGAACCCCCAAGTCCTCTAAACATCTCAAGTAACTTTCCTGGATCCTTGGTTAAAAAATTATTTCCCCAAAGCCCCCAAAATGAAGTACACCAAAACAAACTGAGACTTTTTTCTTCCGCAGAACAATTAAGCTTTTATTAAGCTTTAATGAACTTTATTGCATTATATGACCTTACTTTGAGTTTCCCTAAACTTAGGCAATATTCCATGAGTCCCCCAAAGCACACTGAAAAATGTCCCCAAAATCCTAAAAGTTTTTAAATATTTGTGCCTTATTAGTTTCCTAGCTTCTAATTTGGCTTTCTGAAATTTAGGTCTCCATGGCCATTTAGTAATTTCCATGGACCCCCAAAATTGAGACTATATTTTACTGGGGTTCCTTACATGCCAACCATGTCCAGGAAAACTACAAGATTTTTGGCTCTTGTTCAACAAAAATAAATGAACTGAAGTCTGTTTTTAAAATTAAAATGGACATTGAGGTCTGCATCCCCCAAATGTACTGCCTACACTTTGGGTTCCCCAAAATTTAGACAGTGCTTCTGGAGTTCTAAAGATCACAAGATCTTCCCTGTACCTCACTAAATATGGAGGCTACTTTCCCCGTGTGTTACAAGTCTCCAGCTAGTGAGCTGCATTCTTAAAATATGGACATTAATCCCTACCTCCCTTGAAGAATTTGCTTAGACTCCTAAAATATGTCCCTTGTTTTCATTCTGTGATTTTAAACTTTGTGTCCCTTAGGTTTCCCCAAATTTCATGTTGAGAATTTTCTTTGGTTCAACAACAACAACAACAACAAAGCCCTCACCCCCAAACAAACTAGTCTGTGACTTTGGGGGACCCCCCCCCCAATCTTGAGATCAACATGCTAGTTTCCTTCACTTTAGATCTATGTCACTGTGTCCCCCAATTTCATGGTTACAATTTCCTTCATCTCCCAGTTGTGGACTTTATTTTTCTGAAGTCTCAAATTCATTTATTATTGTTCCCACATTTGTTGACTCTCTCCTGGGCGCCCCTACTTCGGGACAATCGTTCTTTGGGCTGCAAATCAGAGATCCATCGTGCAATTCCGAAATTTGGGCATTGTTCCCGGCCCGCTGACTGCCCTAGGCTTCCCCAATCCCGTGCACGGCGGGCACTGGTTTCAGGCCTCTTAGCGTCTCCTACAGAGTCCCCAGAGCAACTAGGATTTTGGAAAATTTTCTTTCTGTACCCCAGACACAGTTCTGACCGCAGCGCGATCGCCAGGACGTGGGCAGTACTTGTCTCCTAACCAGGAAAACGACTGGGCATTGTCCCCCAGTTCCCCCAAATTTGGGCATTGTCCCTAAGTCTTCCAACGGACTGGGCGTTCCCCCCGGACACTGGGGACTGCCCCCCCGGGGTCTCGCTCACCTTCAGCAGCGTCCACTGTCCGCCACAGAGCGCTCGCCCGCCCGCCCGCTGCCTCGGCTCTTCCTGCGCCTGCAGACGCTGCCTTCAACTTCGCGGTGAGCTTCTCAGCGGCCCGGGTCCTGCCGCCTCTGCGACCCCAGCCTGGTTCCTGCCCGCACCCGCTGCCGTTCTGATCAAACGGGTAGGAAGGAGCTAGTTTTCAACGGCCGCCCCGGAGGCCAGCGAGGAGCGCAGGACCCAGCTGCGGGTTACCCGCTCGTCGGCCGCACTCCCTTCGATTTGGCGCTCCGAAACCGACGCCACTTTCGTTTACTTTTAGCAAAAGACCACAATTGTGGGCCGAGCGGCTTGGCTGCCCCGAGGCAGTGCGGGCAGAATCTGGAGTCGGTGGGACGCAGAGAGGCGCTCCGGGTTAGGCGGCGCGGCGCCTCCAGCCAGCCAGCCGAGCTTAGCGCTTGGGGCAGCGCGCGCCAGCGCGGGCGCAGTGATTGATGGCGGAGCAAGGGGGCTAGCCGGCGCTGGGGCTTCCGCCGCCCGCGGCCCCTTCCTCTCCGCGAAACGCAGGCAGGCGGCCGGGACTGCTGGGGGTGATCGGGGGCGGGGGCGCAGGGGATTGTGAGTGGTTTTGACTTGGTGAAAATCACAGTGCCTTCTCACATCGTCCAAACTCTCCAGGAGATGGTTTCCCCAGCCCCCCAGATAATCGTGGTGGCCCCCGTGGCTGAACCTGCGCCTACGCAAGTCCAACGCACTGAGGACGGGGGAACCATTATCCGGATATTTTGGGTGGGCCTCAAAGGCGAGCTGCTTAGACGCATCCCGGTGAGCTCAGTCATGCAGGTAGGACTTGAGCTTTTTTCTCCTCCGGAGAGCAAAGCTTTTGCGGGCAGGCTCCATGCCTGGGGCAGATTGGACTGGACCCAGTCAGCCTTCTCCAGCCCCGCCGCTGGAAGCTGCCGGGGCTGTTCCGGGCTGCCGCGCGGCACCGGGGGGCGCTCGGGATCCGATTGCGACTTGAGGTGCCTCGCAGCCCGCCCAGACTACTTGGGCAGGTGGCCGCCTCGCACCCTACCCGAGCTTGGGGATATTTCCTCCGCCGAGAGTTACCAGCGGGGATCCGCGACCCAGCGCCGAGTCACCTGCGCCCATGAGCTGGCCAGACCCTCCCGCCAGGTAGCCTACTGGCAGGGCGCAGGGACTCTCACCACTGCTAAGGCCTGGGACGATGCCTACGCCTGCTGGCCCCACGTCCCCAGCGCTGGAGCGCAGGGCGCCCTGGCACCCCAGAAACCCTAGAGGAGACCCCCAGAATTATTTAGAATAGAGATACGGGTTTCGTTCGCCTTCGGCATCTCCCAGCCCCCCACCCTAGCCTCGAGTCCCTGCACCCACCGCCCCCCCCCAGCGGTTGCCCCGGGGCCTCGGGCCCCCAGCCCGCGTTCCCTCCGGTGGCTCGAGTTGCGGGGGCGGTCCCGGGGCGGGGCGAGAGCCCCGCGGGCGCCCATTGGCGCGGGCTCTCGGCCAGCGGGCCCGAGCGGGCGCCGAGCCGCGGGGTGGCGCGGCTATAAGAACCGGGCGTTGGCGCCCGCAGTTCGCCTGCTCTCCGGCGGAGCTGCGTGAGGCCAAGCCGGCCCCCGGCCCCCCCTTCCGGCCGCCCCCGCCTCCTGGCCCACGCCCGCCCGCGCTCGGCCCGCCAGCGCCTCCACCCGGGCTGGCGGCCCCGCGTCGACGTCGTCCGCTGATTGCTGCTAACTCCCGTCCTGGGCGCCGTCGGCGGGGTCGCGCTCCGTCGGGCCTGCGGATTCCCCGCCGTCTCCTCCTTCGTCTACCTCAACGCCGGTCCCCGCTTCGCCAGAGGAGGCGGTTCCCCCCGCAGGCAGTCCGGCTTGCAGGCCGCCGGCGTTGTCATCCCCCGCGCTCCCCCCCAGCCCTCCCCGGCGCGCACCCCGGCCGCTCCCCCTTCCTAGCTGCGTCCCGAGCGGCCGCGGCGCCGCCACTCCTTCCCTCCCCCTGAGACCCGGGCTTGCGACGGCCGAGGGCTCCGTCGGCCCAAACCGAGCTGGGCGCCCGCGTCTCGGGTGACGCCTCCACTCCGTCCCGGTCAACACCGTCCCCAGTCCCAGTCCCCGACGTTGCGTCCTTTCCTTAGCTTCTCCTCGCCCCGCTACTCTCACCGCGTCCGCGCGGCCCCGCTACTCCACCGCCACCTTCCCTGAGCTCCCTCCCGCCCCCCCAACTCCTCGCCTCCGACTCCCTCCCCCCTCACGTCCTCCCCCTGCCTTCCCCTACCAAAGTGGATTAATTATACGCTTTCTGTTTCTCTCCGTGCTGTTCTCTCCCGCTGTGAGCCTGCCCGCCTCTCGCTGTCCTCTCTCCCTCTTGCCCACTCTTTGTCCCCCCCCCCTTCACGTTCACTCTGTCTCTCTCACTATCTCTGACCCCCTCTATCCTTGGTACAACAGCTGACCTCATTTCCCGATACCCTTTCCCCCCCTAAAAGTACAACATCTGGCCCGCCCCAGCCCAAAGATAGCCCGTCCTTCCTAAAGAAGCAGAAGAGTCCCCCCCCAAAAAATAAGCCATCCCCCCGTTCTGCCCCGTCGCACATTCGGCCCCTGCGACCCGGCCAGAGCGGCGCTGGCAGAGGAGTGTCCGGCAGGAGGGCCAACGCCCGCTGTTCGGTTTGCGATCACGCAGCAGGGAGGTGGGCGGCAGCGTCGCCGGCTTCCAGGTAAGCGGCGTGGACCATCGGGGCGAGGAGGGCAGGCAGGCGCGCAGGACGCCTGGCTCTTCCTCCCGCCCGCCCAGCTGGGGCCTGGGGTTCCCACTGGCCGGGAAAGGGCTGGGGGCTGGGGTCGGGTTCCCTCGGGGTACCCCTGGCTCTCCCTCTTGCAAAGCAATCGGGGGGGGGGCGTCGAGAAGCGCCGAGGAGGTGTGTGCAGTCGACACGGGCGACTTCCTGGTCGGTTTGTGGGTGTGTGTGAGTTTGGGGGGGAGCGGTGGTTCTGAAAACGTGAGATTTGTGCCGTGCGGGCGCAGTCCCCTCAGGGTGTTGGGTAATGAGGAGGGGGGCGGTCTTGGAAGCCCACCCTGGTATGTTGACTTGGTGCCAGCAAGACTGAGAGAGGAAGACGGGGTGGGTGGGGCCAGGAGGGGGACCGAGTTGGCAAAAGGGTAATGCCAGACGCCACATTTGCAATGTATTTCGCTCCTACCCCCATCTCTCCCCTGTCCCCACATTTCCAACTAGGAATCTGGGGGAGAGGGGCCAGTTTGAGGCTCAGAAGGGCCTGCAGAGGGGGCAGCTGCCCTGCCCCTGGCAGAGTGGAAGTTTCCATACAAGGGGATGGAATGGTGCCCCCCGCCCCCTATTGTCTTGCCAGAGATGGGCTGGGGGTGCAGGATGAGCCCCCCCATGGTACTTTACTAAGGGATGATCCAGTACTAGCGGTTGGGGGTGCAGGAGAGAAGAGACTGGCTGGAAGGAGGGAGGGGGCGGGTGCAAAGGGGGCGGGAGGAGTGGTCAGCGGCGAAGGGGTGGGGGTAGGGTGGAGCCGGGGCTGGGAGGAGCCGACTCAGACATAAAAGCGGAGGCACTGACCAGCTTGCAAACTGGACACTAACTTCTCTTCTGAGAGACACCTCCAGCTTCCACCTACTTCTCCTCTTCCTCCTCCAGCCCCAGCGAGCCTCCTGTCCAGCCGAGGTAACGGGGCTGTGGAGTAAGGACCCAGCTGCCATCCTGCTTCGGCCTGCCTGGTTGCTGAGGGCAACGGCAGAGCCTCCGGCCTGCGCCCCTGCAGCCCGGCCTGCGGCCTCAGCGCCCTGCTTCTCCCCTGAGCCTTCGCCAGTTTTCACCTGGTTCCCTCGCTCCTTCACCTGCTTCCCTTCCCTCCCTTCTCCTCTCCCTTCCTCAGCAGCGGCTTCAGGGTTTCTCCTGGGTCTTCACCTGTCTGGCACCTCCACATGCCTCCTCACCGTCCTCCGCTTTCTGCTGGCATCTAGGGCTGAACCTGGAGCTAGAGTGGTGGGATTTGTGGAAGGGACCTCGGGGGCAGCAGATGGAGCTACCCCGCACACCGACTGCGGCTGAGCGGCCAGCTGGCTGAGTTTGCTTGCTCCCAGGATTTGGAAGAAGCAGCAGAGGGGCGGCGGGGTGGCTTAGTTCTGTTGGAGAGGTTAGGAGAGGTGGTTTTTGGATTTTTTTTCATGAAGGTAGCAATGGCTTGACAAGCAGGGAATAAGTAAGATTGTATCTTTCTTATTCCCTGCTCCATCTGACGTGATTTATTGCATGGACCCGTGGAAGGAAGCTAGGCCACCAGCCTGGAGGACCCCAGAAGTAGGGGCCAGAGTAACCTGCTTTGTAGTTCGCGTCTGCCGTACCTAAAGGAGCCGATTAACTGTTGCCCCAGCTGGCTCTTTAGCCACTCAGCTACGGAGCGGTGTGTTCTACAATGAACAGCCCCTCCAGCCTGTAGCAGAGGCCAAGTACCTGGAGGGACCTGGTACTTGGCCTCTCTGGTGATCTGACCCGGTCTCTCCAGCTCCTTCTGAGGTGCACGGGGTCTTGGGGACAGTAGGGGGATGGTGCGTTGGTTACGGAAGAACTCCGAGGCATGATTTGAGGCCTGAAAAGGGGGCTTCTGTGAGTTTTGTTATGTCCAGGGCAGGCTGGAGTGGGAGGGCTGGGTGATTCAGGAGACTAAGGCTCCTGGGACTGTGGGCGGCACAGTTTTACTAACCATTGGCTCTTTTACCTAGCTTTGCGCATACAGGCTGAAGGGGAGAGGCTGGCCCAGCGGGGTTTGCCTGCATGTTTGGAGCGCCGTGGTCCTCCTGGACCTCCCTGCCCAGCTGGGGTTTGGGAGGCCAGGGATTGGTCCTCTAGGACATACATGCTCCACATAGGTGGAGCTATTTGCCATCTTGGCGGTTGCTTGGAGGCCCCAACAGTAGTAACCGTGCCCTTCGTCTGGCTCTGGCCCCACCCCCATGATGTCACAGGAGGGAGACCATTCCAGTGTCCAGCGCTGGCCCCTTGGCTGTGGGTGTGACTGCGCTCCTGTAATCATGATGAGCGAATGGTGGTCCACATGTAAAAGTGCTAATGTACCTTGCAATTTAAAGCTACAGAGCACGTCGTCTGACCCCCAGACCGGTCCGTTCTCCAGTTGCCTGGCCTCAGCAATTAACATATGCACTTTTTAAAAAATTAAAATTAAAAAGGAAGCTGGACTTTTACATTTCAGCTGAATGACTGGGAATCTGGGCGTGGGGGAGGTGCCTGGAGACTGGGGCGGGGGGTGGAGCCCTCACTCAGGTCAGGCTGTCTCTGTCTTTTGCAGATACCAATGGGGATTTCAATGGGGAAGTCGATGTTGGTGCTACTCACCTTCTTGGCCTTCGCCTCGTGCTGCATTGCTGCTTACCGCCCCAGTGAGACCCTGTGCGGCGGGGAGCTGGTGGACACCCTCCAGTTTGTCTGTGGGGACCGCGGCTTCTATTTCAGTAAGTAACTTGGAGGGGATGGGCGGGGAGAGGAGAGTATGCAGTGGGTACCCTCAGTCAGACTCTGTGGGATGGGGGCTGTGAAACGGGCAAGGGGATATTTAGAGCCCACGTCACCTCTGAGACTTGGAGAAGATACGGCCTCCCGCAAGGATTTACTGAGCACCCCCCCACCCCATGCCTGGCACGCATGTGCAGCTGGCCGCAGGCCCCGTACCTCAGTGGGCTCACAGGGTCTCCATGGGGTGGGGGGTGGGAGGTGGGAGTTCCTGGTGGGCTGGGCACAAGTCCCCACTGCCAAGACACCGTGCCCCTTGGGCAGAACTGTAGCCTCTGCCTTCTTTCCTGTACCGTTTGAACATTTCAACGGGGGGGGGAGGGGCGCGGGGGGGCGTGTGTTCACGAGTGATCAGATTTAAAGTTTGATATGCGTAAGATCAATAAAAATAAAAGCATACATAGCGAGTAGCAGAGCTGATTGTGCACATGCAGCCTTGGGGGAGGAGAGGAGAACTCCAGGGTTTGGGGTCCTGGCAGCAGTGTGGGGTACCAACCTGCTTTGACTGTTTCTCACAATTTTCTCTTGATCTTTCAGCCTGGGGGGTTGGGGGGGGCCTCACTGCTCCCAGAAGAGGGGAGCTAGAGGGACATGCCTGGGTGGGGTTGGAGGAGGAGGGGCATCAGGAACAGTGACTTCTCTTGCTGTTATGTACTTCCTTGTCTTCTCCACCTGGCACTAGCCACGTGACCTCCTCCTCTGCAGCCTCTACTTACCCATCTGTGAAACAGGCTGACAAGATGTACCTACATTTCCAACTTCTTTCTGAAAAGTACTCCTGCTGCTGGATGCTCTGAAGCCCTTGCTGCCCTGGCCTCTCTTGTGTTCTCCCTTTCATCTGTCTCCTTGGCGGGGCAGGACGTGGCACTGCAGGCCCCGTGCCATTGGTCCTTGCTGAGGGAATTGCTCCCCTAGGCTTTCCTAAGAGGAGAAATGGGCCAAGCCCACTAATGGGACCCCCAAGCTGGGGACCCCTGTCCCTCCTCCCACCGATGACACCAGCCCTTTGGTGCCCAAAGTGACTGTCCTCCCAGCCAAGCCTCAGACCTGAGTGCCGTGGGGGAGAGGGGAAAGACGGGAGAAGAGAAGGGAGTGGTTAATGCGACTCCTCACTCCTCCCCTCCCGTCTTGTTCTCTCCTGCCCAATCCTCCCTGTCTCAACGCTTGGGGACACGGACCCCTGCAGGTTGTGGGCCACACCTGTGGGGCCAGGCTCCTTGCTGGGCTCACAAACCCCACCTATGTTCCAGACTACCTCCAACACCCGCCCTGGGAATTCACATCCCAGGCAGGAGGCACCAGAGGCCAGGGGCTGGTCCTGCAGCATGCCCCTTCCATCTCTGTCCTTTCTGGGCTCCTCTGCCTGCCCTGCAGCGTGACCAGGGCCTAGCCTGGGCAGCCCCCCCCCCCCGGGGTGGCTTTGATGGGCACTGACTGTGACTATCTCCTGGAATTTCTAGGCAGACCCGCAAGCCGTGTGAGCCGTCGCAGCCGTGGCATCGTTGAAGAGTGCTGCTTCCGCAGCTGCGACCTGGCCCTCCTGGAGACTTACTGTGCCACCCCCGCCAAGTCCGAGAGGGACGTGTCAGCCTCTTTGGCCGTGCTTCCGGTGAGACCCTGGACCTTTCCCCTCTTTCTAAAAATGAGGGATAGGATGTTAGGTGTATCTCCTGGCAGGTGGGACCCCTTAGCCAAGAAGGACATAGCCAGCTTTAGCTTGAAGTACAAAGGGGGGGGCGGTCCCATAGGTCTTCTTGGCCAGTGCCCCCACCCCCCAGTGGATGTTGACTTCATTGAAGGTGCTGCCGAGGAGGTCTGGGCAGGTGGCTTTGGGGGTAGAGCCTATAAGGCTGACCTGTTGATTGTTCCTTCTTTCCCAGGACAATTTCCCCAGATACCCCGTGGGCAAGTTTTTCCAATATGACACCTGGAGACAATCTACTCAGCGCCTGCGCCGAGGCCTGCCAGCCCTCCTGCGCGCACGCCGGGGTCGAATGCTCTCTAAGGAGCTTGAAGCATTCAAAGAGGCCAAGCGTCACCATCCCCTGACGGTCCTGACCTCCAAAGACCCCACCCACGGTGATGATACCTCTTCGGAGAAGTCCAGCAACCAGAAGTGAGCCAAATTGTTGTAATTCTGCAATGTGTACCATCGCGCTCGTGACCTCCTCTTGAGCAGGGACATTTCCATCACGTCCCACCTCTAAGATCTCTCTGTTCTGTTTCCACCCCAGTATGTTTCTCTACCCCAGCCCCTGTGCCCCGCCTCCCCACATCAGGGTGCTCCCCTGGCCCCACTCCACCGGGCTGAGGGAGTCATAGCAACATCTTCAAAGACAAAACCTATTAGATTTACATATCCCCCACATACACCCCCTCCCAAATTCTACAATGCACATCAAAACAATTGAAAAAGCCCCTTAAAACTAATTGACTTTTTAAAAACACTGATTAGCCTTTAAAAAAAAAACCCTGAAAAACCAATTGGCTGAAAAGATACTAAAAAGGAATTGGCTTAGAAACAATTGGAGAAAGTAAAGGAATTCGGCACACCCTCCCCCTTCCTCTTCCTCCCTCTGACCTTGAGTCAACTAGGTTGGACCAGCAAGAGGAAGGAAGGGGGACCCCAAAAGTTTGCAGGTGGGCATGCCAGTGCTGCTACACCATCACCTACTCATTTCCGTTGAGCACTTTCAGTGTTGGCTGCCTAAGAACAGCGGCCACCAGACTCATTCCTCACCCATTTTCCATCAGGGAGCCGCCAGGGTGTTAGGTGGACTTGACCCATTGACATCAAAGGAAGGGAACAGCCTGAAAACCTTTTACTCCTGAAAGTAAAGTTTAATTGGCGCTAACCCCACCCCCCAAATTCTTAGATCTCAGTCTCTATCCTAGAAAGCACACACTCATCCCTACACAGTCACATGCACACAACACCTGCCCACATGTACATGTGCGCCCACCCCACGTACCTTCACACATGCATACACACACCTACCTCACACATGCACACATACACACCTGAGCACACACACATCTCACACACACACACACACACACGCACACGCACACGCGCGCACACACACACACACACACACACACACGCCCACACACACACACGCCCACACACACACACCCCTAATTGGATGAAAGCAATCAAAAAAGAAACAACCCTCACTTCTGACCCACATCGTGTAGATTAAGCAGAGTTCCACCTCAAATTCTCTCGGCTGTTTTCATGGCCCGAGTTCCCAGGTGCCACCATGCTCCCAGAGTGAGGAATGAGTTTGGTCAGATTAGAGGTGGTGTTAGCAAGCAAGGTCTGCCCCCACCAGTGTGCTCCTGGGAGAAAGATCTGGGGATCCCCCGCCCTGAGCACCAAAGAATCATCTTTGCCCTGATAGTGGAGAGAGTGGGAAGTCTGGCGGTTGGAGGGGTGGGTGGGGGGCAGTGGGGGCTGGGTGGGGGGAGCTCTGAGGTAGAAGATGGTCCGGGGAGATTTTGGAGGGAAGAATCAGGAGGAGAAACAGCTCAATTTGCAGAATTACGGAGAAATCAGGAGCCAAATTTTACATCAATTGATCATTTCCCCTTTGTTTCTTGGGGCATATTTCCTTTTTTTTTTTTCTCTCTCTTTTTTTTTTTATCAGTTAGCTTTTATGCGCTCAAAATTGAATTATACTCCCATCCCCTATGTTACCAGGGGAGCAGTGACCCCAAACAATGTGCGAATACCATCTTTGCCACTTGTCATCATGTCCTGCTCTCCGCCATTTATCACCCTTTGATTTTTAACCTGTTCCTGTCGCTTGGATTGAGTTGAGAGTGGGGCCTCCTTAGGGTATTGGCCACAATGCCCCACGGAGAAGTCAGGGGAAGAAAAAGGCCGCTTCCTGGTCTGGCTTCTGGGGATAGTGGCTTAGTCCCCAGAGGTTCTGAGGGCTGGAGGAGGGGCTGGGTGGTGTCTCCCCAGGTGTTGGGAAGGTGCTCGGAGGCCACAAAGATGGGGCCCTTGGCTGGCCTGCAGCCAGTCAAGGGGGAAGGGGTTATGGATGTGTGAGCAGAGAGACTCCATCGGGCAGGAGCACGTGGTCGCCTTCCACACACTTGAGGAGCCCTCCCCCCCCTTCAGTGACACCTTTTCCACCCCTCAGCACCCACCCTGTCCTCAGGAGAGCTGGAGCTCTGCAGACCCTCCTTTGGGCAGAGTGGGATGAGGCCAGGGAGTTGGGGAAGCCAGGAGGATTTGAGCCGGCAGAGCACGAGAGCTGGCCATTGAGTGGGGTCGCTTGGGCCCCGAGGCTTTCGGGTCTGGCAATGCCATGGCAGCCACATCATGGTGCCTAGGACTGTGCAGGGAACCGGGCGGCTGGGTGGTTCGTCTACCTCACCCCCACCTTTTTTGCCCCCAGTGCAGCCCCCCTGCATGAGGTCTGACTAACAATTTAGAGGCCCGAGGCTTCTGGGTCCTGGCGGCGGGGCTGGCATGACCCTGGGGGAGGTACATGTCAGCCCAACCCCGCACAGGGGGCCCCTTAGCAAGCGTCTGGAGAATGGGCCATTCGGAACATTGGACAGAAACCCAAAGAGCAAAATTGTCAGAATTGGAGAAGAATGTAGACAAATTGGCGTGAAATCCAAAAGACTCTGAGGCACCCCAAATTACCTGCCCATTCTTCTGGATACCCACCCACTCAGTAATTTTTGCCTCACTGGGCTGGGTACTCCTGGGGCGCTTGTTATGGCCCTCTGTGCTCCCAGTTTTGCCGCTCTCTCCAAGGTCACCACCATCTTATCTCCGGCACCTGTCTGGCCTCCCGTGCCTAGTGTGGCCCTCCATCTTGTCTCTTCCCTATTCCCATGTTGTCTTCAGTGGGACCCCTCTCTTGGGTCCCCCCTTTACCATCACCTGAAGACCCCCCACGCGTTGGACACCATTTGTCACCTGTGCTGCTGTGTCAGTCCATCTTGTTGCAGCTGTGTCCACCTCAACTTAACTCCGTTAACACGCTCATTCCTGGCGAAACCTAATGCATGGGTTTTGTCTTTAACTTGTTATCGCTCGCAATTTTAATAAAGCATTTAAAAATCACTATTTTGAGTTATTTGTTCTTTCACTTGGGGGATGGGATTGGGGGATGGAGGCTGGCCTCTTGGGAGACTGGGCAGGAGGTGGGTGGAGGGGGCTGGACTTGAGATCAGGAAGAGCTCCTGTGAGGGTGGGGGGGATGGGGGCCGGGGGCAGGGTGGGGGGTGGCAAGTCTGAGACAATTTCAGGCACCTAGTCATCAAAGATTGGGGGCATATGGGAGGAGGGATATGGGGGGCTGGTTTCCAAGGAAGGGGCCCAGGGCCCTTTATGTCAGCCCCAGGGTATAGCTCTCTGAACTTTGGGCTGGGGCTGGGCTGCTTCTGGGAGGCTCTGGACACCCCTGCAGTAGCCTCTGTGCTGTTACCTGGGATGGCTGCCTGCCACGCATCTTCACTCCTCCCAAGATGAGGGCCTCCCTGTGTTCCCACCCCTACTGGGTGCTGTAGATAGAGAAGAGGGCTGCTGGCCCTGTGTCCCCTGCTCGGCTGGGCTGGCCTCTGACCTTTGGGGTTTCTGAGCGTAAGAGGAGAGTGAGGGGGTGCATAAATGCTTGAGGCTTGGCCTCTTCCCTCTGTCCCATGACTCTACCCGATTTCAGCCCCCAACACCCTCATCAGCAGATCTGCTCTGCCCACCCCATTGTGGGAGGGGTCCTGAGCGGGAAGGAAGGAGGACCTCTGTGTTCTCAGGGCCTTTGGCTTTGGGGAGGGTCTCTCACCCAGACACTTGGGAATTTTGCCCTTTCCCAAATCTTCAAATCTTTGCATTTGCTGTTCCCTAATCGATTGCATTTCCCAATGGGGGGCATTGGGTTGTGATGCAGGCCTCTTGGGGTCTGCAGGGGCAGACTTGCTTCCCACACACCCAAGAACTACTTTGAGCAATTTGGGAAGCTATGATCAGAGCAGGCTGGTTAGGGGAGAAAGATTTGGGCTTGTAGATAGGAGGGCTGGGGAGTCAGAAAATTGCAAGTGAGATGTGGAAGGCACAATTGAGGGGCACTCCCAGCTGCACAAAGACAAGGCAGGAGGGAGGTGCTTGGTGGGCACAGAGGGTCCAGGGCCCACGTGGTATTGCCTGACTCCCTGGGGTCCCCCTCAGACCCTCAGGCTTCTCTCTGCCCACCCCAGAGGCAGCTGCAGTTTCTTTGTTGCCAGAGCCCCCCGAAGGCCCCCTGAAGGCCCCCTGAAGTTCTGCCCAGTCCCCCTCAGCTGTACAGCTTCCCAAAAATCTTCCCAGGGTCTTTGAGTTCTAGTCTCTGACCCCTTTCCTCAGACTACCTCTTCCTGACCTGCCTGCCCCAGGCTACTCAGAACTGGCCTTCTCTGTACCTGACACCCCTCCATCTGTCCCTGCCCCTGGGCCTTCCTGGCCTTCCTCAGTGTAGTCTGACTGTATACCCCTCCTCCACACATTCCCTAAGACCCCTGTGAGCTTCCCTGATCTACCTGATGTTTGGGTGCAAATGACTCCTTTGTCCAGTTCTGGATTAGCCCTGATCTTGCAGCAGCCCTCTCGGGGGTTGCCTCCCTCGCACCTGCCCAGTATTATTTAAGAGAGTGTTCCAGAGCCCCCCAGACCCTCTGTTCACCCTACCCCTGCTCTGGAAATGGTGTTTATCCCAGAAAGTTCACCTACACATCCACATGTCCCCCACTCATCCACTCACCCACCCAACCATTCACCCATCCTCTCCTGTATACATATTGCCAGCCTCCCATCACCCACCCTCCATCTCCACCTCTCCCCAGACATGGGTGGGTACTGCTCATGTGCGGGACACCCCAGGCTGGAATTAGTAGGTGTTCGGGTGCTCTTTTAAGCTGGATATGGCTCATGGAGAAGTTGGTGCTGAAGCAGAGACTCACAGGGAGTAAAGAAAGAGGGATGCAGGGGAAGAGCACTCCTTGAGGGGGCTGCAACCTGAGTGGGAGTGGGAAGCATTCAGCCCCACTCCAAGGGTGGAGTGGGGGTGAGGGCAGGAGGAGGGGACTGATGAAATCAGAGTCCCAGCCACGTAGGCCTCTGGTGTTCCCAAACATTCACAGACCCTTTTTGCAGTGAGTTCAGTGCTGGCCCTCAGAAAGAAAGGTTTCTGTGTTGACCCTGAGGCCTGCTGTTGTGACCTTATTTAGAGTAAAGGTCTTCACAGATGACATCAGGAGATGAGGCCATCTTGGGTTTAGAATGGGTGTAACACATGACAGATGTCTCCACTCTGAATTGGTTGACAAAACTATGATTGAGTCCCCTGGCTCCTCCAGCCATGCTCCACATGGGCTAGAGGCCTACTGCTTTGAGGCTTCTGTAGCTTCTATGGGCCATTGAGTAAAGCCCACATGCTGGCCAGGCTTTCCCTCCTTCCTCCATGGCACCCTGTCCTACCTTCCTCCTGGCTCGCTTGCTTGTCACCATCCCTCTGCTGCTCTCTCCCCAGGCCTCTGTCCTCCCCCTGGGAACTCCTGCATACCCTCTGCTCTCTGTTCAGTCCTGCCCTCCTCCTTTGTAAACAGCAGTCTGCATTTAGCCACTGCCCCTGTTCCCCAGAGATGCTAGTAACCATGGGCATAAGATGCCTGGCCTAAGTACCTCCCCAAGATTGTTGAGACTCTCTGCAGCCTCTGGAGATACCACAGCACACAGGACTAAGGACATTTAGTGTTTGTCCCTCAAGGATAAACCCCAGACTTCCACAGCCTCCTATTGGAACACTCACTTGACCTTGGTCACCAGGCCTCATCCTTAAGCAACCAACGTCCACCTGTTGGCTAGGGTCTCCACCACTCCTGGCTGCCCAGGCCTAGTACCTGGTGGCTGCTTCGGCACAGGTGTGGCCAGGCCATCGACAGCTGGACCTGGGGAGAGGGTGGTTCCCAGGCTGACAGCACCCCAAGCCAGGCTTCTACCTGCTCAGTGGGGCTCCAGTCCTGCCCAACCCCCTCCTGGCCCAGCGGCCACCGCCTCAGGCCTCATTAGCGAAGCCTCCAGCCTCTCTCGCTCCCAGCCCAGCCAGCCCAGGCCTCTGCCGGCCAGAAACCAAAGAGAAAATGCCTGTTTATGCCAGTTATGCCGAAAGCAAAACAGTTTGTGGTTTGTGACCCAAATTTTTTGCCTTTTTTTTTTCAGAACATAACAAAGCCCAAGACAACTCCCTCCCCATCCCCAGCCCTCCCCCTAGGCAGACAGAAATGATGTGTTTACACTGGCTGTAGCACATTCCGACTGGTCAGCCCTCTCCCAGCACAGTCCCCTCACACTGGGCGCTAGGCCGCTGGGGAAGGGGCCACTAGTCTGCCATGGGGAAAGGCTGGGAATGAGGAGGGCTTGCTTCCTCTGTGGGGCACTGGCTACTGACCAAGTACATCCTGGGGGCTGGGAATATTGGGGTGCATATCTATCTGGGAGCTTCATTGGGGACTCTACCCCACCCTAGAAAGGAGGGATTGCAAGGGAGCCTTGTGCTTAATTATTCCCCCCAAGAAACACCTCCCAGGTCTGACATCTTTCCTCTCAAGCACCCACTTCTACTACAAGAGCACAGGTGCCTAGACCCACAGGGTGATGGGTCACCCACTTGCTGCCTGCCCATGCACTGCACCCCATTATCTCCTCTGCCTTACTCAAGGTCCAGTGTCCTGGCTCGGTTGGCCATGAAGCACAGAATAGGCACATCCTCTGCCATGGGAACCCAGCAGCCACAGAAAGACCTTGTCAGTGAGGTAACAGGCACAAGGCAAGTGGTTCTGGACTGTACCTCAACACTCCATGGCACCTCAGGAAATGACCGGGTGGAGACTTGTGTATCTGTTAAAGCCCAGTGAGCGGGCATGCAGGTCGCTGAGGTAAGGGAGTGGGTCCCCACCTTCGGACCATGCCCATGTATTGGCCTTCCACAGAGACAGGAAAAAGTATATACCTTTGTCTTCCCTGGGCACATCAGAGTGGATGGGCCCTCACCCAACCCCACTGTGTCCCTTCTTGCTTCTCTTCCACAGGTCTGGTCCTTCCTAGTTTTCTTCATCTGCGCATGTGTCTGTGCCATTATGGGTGTTACCTGGGAGCCAGGGCCTTGAGGAAGGGTTGCTCAGCCAAGCAGTTCCTGGGGGGTTATGGGAGGCCAGAAACACTAGCTCCCCAGTGGGATGGGAAGACCACCTAGGACCCTCCCTCCTGCATCTGGAGGGTGTGCAGGAGTTAGAAGGACATGGCAGAGGGAACTACAGAACAGTTTCAGGACTACCAGGAGTACAAAGAGCTCAAGTGCCAGCCAAGAAGCTGAACTTGACCTTACAAGAGCTTTAGGCAGCCACGAAGGACTTGTGGGGGGGCCAGGGGAGTTATCCATTCAGAGGCAAATTCTAGAGAAGCAGTCTAAGTGTGGAGTGCATTGGAGTCCCAGAGAGTTGGTGGAGGGGTACAGGGTGGGGAGCAGGGAAGGTGCTTCAGATGGGAGGCATTAAGTGTGGCCTTTCAGCACTGCATGCACTGTGTGTGTGTGGGGGGGTGTCCTTCTAATTCCCAGGCCCCCCAACGAGAAGGGGTGGAGTGGCAGGAGTGTAGCTACCTCAGGCTCTGGGACCCTGGAGGCTATCCAGTTGTGCCCGCTGCCAGGCTGGCAGGCTCCCCGAGCCTGGCTGGGAGCATCGTTCTTTGGGAAGGTCTGGCCCGCACCTCTGCTTCCCCCTCCCCGGGCCTTGTCATCCCTGGCCTCCCCTCGATCAGGAACAGATGTGCCTCTGAGCAGGAATTCTAGCTATTTGGTTAGCCAGCCACTCGCAGGGAGTTTCTGATAAGGCAAATTGGTTCTCTGCAGAGTGGAGGGGGAGTAGAGGAGGAGGAGGGAAGATACCACCCCCCACCTTCCTCATGCCTAGGCCTCCCTCCAAGCAGGTCCCTGGCCCAGCTCCAGAGACTTCTGACATCATTGCCGGTGTGGCACAGGGGCTGCAGGTCCCCACAGGTAGACATACCTGGAGGCTAAGAAGCTGTCCCCCACCCCA